CCGAGGAGTTTCATGCTAGGACGAAACAGCTATGCATTGATCCTAGGTATTCACTGATCGTCTAACCTAAGTTTGTTCCTGATCTCAATAATATCTTTCTAGTAATTCAATAAGACATGGCTATAATCTGCATTATTTATCATCTATATTGTATAATGAAAATATTGCATAATACGTTACAAGCTAACTTTCTTCGCAATTTGGATCTTCAAAAAAATCTAGATCCTCATCTGATATCTGGCTAGTTCATCAATAAAGTACCATTTTACCGAATAATTTCAAAGAAGCAAAAATTTTTCAGTTTTATGACTAAACAAATTATCTTATTTTTAATATTCTTGACTGAATTCGATCAACCCTGATTTTGGAAATTATGAGAAAAAATTTATCAAGACATTTTGTACAAACGAAAAATAGATGATTTTAAAAAAGTTTAGACACACACAAAATAGTTGATTTTATGAAAGTGAACATGTTAACATATATCTACTCTTGCTATCAAAGCACTAGATAGCCGTTTTTATCTTAGTACAAGATTATTCACGACTTCACTACTGGGATTCGAACCAGAGACTTTCAGTCTCGAACACTAAGCTTCCAGACCACTGACACCACTGCAGTGGTGCACATGACCAACATTGATCAGTCCAAGATATTGTGTGATCATCTTCCATTGTCTTTAGTGGATACCTTTCTTACACCCGAATCAATGTTACCATAGGTACCATTTTGATTATTGATCGATGCATTATAGTTCGTCTTGGTCATACACTATCAAGAGATCAAACCACATTACTAGTAAATCAAATGAGCAAAAAAATTATTAATTTATATGTGCAAATCAAACAGATACAGAAACAAACATTTACATGTACAACAATACAAAGATTTGTCATACGTTTTTTCAACTAAATTTGATTTTCTTTTTTTTCATTGTTATAAGGTCATAATGTGATCCATCCATGCTCATTTGATATTTCATATGATTGAACTAACTAGATCCAACACGTAGTCAATAGGTTATTGCATATAACTCGTATAAGTAGAAATATACTTTTTCTCATGGATACTGTCTTTTGGTTTATGACTTGTCATGAATCTTTTTATGTCAGCTAACTATAATTATATTACCATTCAATTGGTAGATGATGAAATTATCGATTGAACAAATGATATAGATAGCAGATTGGGTGTTTTTCCAACATTCTGTCGGTAAGTATTCTCAGTGAAACATTATTCTTATCATGTATTACGATCGTTTAATGTTTACTTAGATATTCTATTAATAAATAAATGGTAAGGCCTATCTAGTTAATTGATATGTCAGATGATTTCATGAAGTCAACAAGAAATCCTATCTGACTCAAGCTATGTGATGATAGTTGACACTCACCACCAGGATGAACGCGTAATTTTAGGAAATTGGTACATTTGGTATTAATCAAACCTGGATTAACTAGCTTCATAGTTTGATTTATTGTTACTGAGATATACTGGTTGCAATCGATCACTTACAGAAGTGAGATATTTGCAACTGATTGATCACTGAGTAGCCACCCACGTCATGTTTATAAAAAATAGATGGAAAGTAGCTACCAGTAGAATCCACAATGTACTTTACGGCTTGCATTGGACTCGTCAGCTGAATATACCCACATTTCGGTGCTGCCATCTTCTCTGAGACGAAACGCGTGTCTTGGATTCTATCACCAGACATATTTCATTTATTTGATACGAACTTGTATCATAATGGCTTTATTGAGGCGATCCGTATAAGATGAACATATGCCAACTAAGGCTGAACAAATTGCACCCGAAATATCAGCAACAGAAGAATCCAAATCACTATAGATTAAACCAACGTCATGTTTATTTAAGCCTTTCAGTGTTCAATTAACAAGATTTACTTAATTATTAAATTTCCATTGAGTTTGCTTTAAGAATAATTTAGGAAGGTATTCAGTTGATACTTTTACTTACTGGAATTTATACTATCATTAATGATATTAATCAAAACCAATAATGTTATTATCATCATTATTATTAAATATTTCAGGTTTAATATGTGTAGTCACATTGAAATGATTTCAGTTAGTAATTCCGGTAGACAATAACTTTCGATGCATACATTTTTAAAGACCATTTCAGTGGCTTATCGCAATATTTGGTTAATCATTTATGATTCTGGGATGACCAATATGCAAATTGACAACTGGTTATAATAATTTTATTATCAAGTACAAGTGGTGGTATCGTGTTTCTCCACGTCTATGTGTGTTTACATTAATACTCCTGATAGGAGTTTATTTCCATACATATAATATTCTAATCGGCAGACAATCGAATTTTTAACGTTTCTCAACGTCGTGTTAGTCATTTCTCCACACGATAAATAATTGGATAGATTAATACAAATTTCGATGCTGCAGTGGAAAAGAATCTCAAATAAAAACACATTTGACTATGTCATTCAATTAAGAATTATACATTATTTTATAAATATCGCCTCTTTATATCGACTAATGTATAAATAAATATACAAATATTGTCTAACCTTTGACCTAAATGATATGATAGTAGTATAATCAAAGGTGTTTTAACTTTACCAAATATTTTGAGATCTATTCCTCTGTACTCAACAATCTTCACAGCCCCTTACTGATAATTAACATGCGCTCACTAGTGACTAGCTTCAAGATGTAATTCTTGGAGTTCTAGTAAGAAACCGTGACCAGGTGAGTTCATATGTACATGTTGTGAGACAGTTACTCACTTCAAGAAATGGAGGACTGTCGCGCAATACCGTGGATTGGTTGAAGTTAGACATTAACACCGTCGGATTTCGGGTCAGTAGTTTATGGGTTTGTGGTAGGCATCGAGTAGCTGTTGAATATGATAACCACTACAGGAAAACTACTTGCCAGTTGCTATGTTAGATACTTCCGAAGGCCAAATATCAGAAGGCAGCTGAAGGTTGTAGTAAGATGAAATTTTTGAAGATCTTGTGGCGTGGAAATAATACCGAGACCGTGCCAAAATCCACAAGCGAGACTATTGAGTGTGCAAGGTCGCAAACAACGGAAAAGTGGGCTTTTTGTATACTTAAACAAATAGGTAAAGCAAAACAGTCACTGGTACAGTTGGTTATAATAATAATTGTTTCCATTATGCCAATCTCGTTCTTTTCATAAAAGTAGGTCACTACAGGTTAAATGTTGCACACCAGACCAAAAGTCTTGGTTTCGATTCTCACGTGCGGGATCGTGGATGCGCACTGCTGAGGAGTCCTATACTAGAATAAAACGGCTGTTCAGTAATTCCAGGTTTCCAATGATAGTCTAACATTGATCCATTCATGATAACAATCTAAACTTAGTCCGTTTAGTTATTCATTCTCTGAATAGGCGAATAACATTAAGCAATAAAACGTCATGAATTCAATTCTCTACTAATTAAAATGATGGGAAAAGATTTTATAACTATCCAACTATAATATTATCAAGCTATAGTTGTAAATCTGATATTTCAGTATATCATTATGCGTAAATAGTTATTTTTTATTGAAATCATGAACTTAATAATGTTAGACCACTATTAAAAACCCGGAAGCACAAGACACGAACACCACTGGATGCAAACTCAGTAGTCTATAAGTTAAGCATCATCGAGCGAAACCGAAGGTTTTGAGGTTGATTGGATGTATAACGGTAAAGAGTACCTAACCAAGACGAAACGTCTGTTCAGTGACTCAAACATTGATAGGTTTATGATTTTAATGAAACTCAACAATCTCCACAACCCTGTACTGATAATTATGTTTAATTTATTCATTATAAAAGAGGTAACCACATGGATGAAATTGCTTTGTACTTGAAGTTCAACTACTAAACAGTTGGATTAGACTGAGACTAGAAATGAAATAACTTCATAAAGTATTAAATTCATTTAGTATTATTTGTTTGAATCTTCCTATTGATGTTTAGGACTACAACTGATCAGTCTCTTATTGGTATATGTGCATACTGTGCGTATTGCCTCGATATAGCCTTAATTCACAAGCATTATAAGCAAAGATGGATGGTGGCTGGCAGTAGAATCCAGGACTTGCGTTTCGTCCATAAAGTATTGACATTTTATTCATTATTTACCAATTATGATATTTTTCATTGGTCGACTCATCATTGTATGACCCAAAAAATCAATCAACAAAATTTCCCTATATTACCTATCATTAATCGCTAAAATTTTAAATTTAGGTCACAAACTGTATAATGAATAAAAAATTTATTCTATCCATTTACTTTCATCCAATAGAAAAAGGATTTAAACGCATTTACTCAAATATGATTGGTGAGAATTTCTAATGGACCAATCAAAATTTAATGCGTATGTTAATACAATGTATAATATACATATTTATAACATTAAATTTTCTTCCCCCCTCCATTTGTTGAATTTTCATAATACTACTTCTAATCTTATTTATTACTAATAGTCTACTCTCCCCTTTTTGTTATTCACATTTATATACTAATCAGCACATATTGATAAGATAGAAATCTTCCTTCTTTTAACACTTATTATTATTTACAATAATACATATATGGATATTTCAACAATAATGAAAAGAAAATAATCTATCTACTGATCATTTTGCATAATAATAGTCCCTTGTTATTTACATTTTCAATATATATAGATAGATAGATAGATTACATGTATTGAGAATTGAATACATTGAAACATATTGAATGATAGATTGCAGTGTATGTATATACATAAGCTGATTATTATTATTACTATTATTACTATTATTAATAATATTGATAATATTCTGTATTATATTATCATTAAAAGATTATTACAATAGTACTATTTATCCATTGCTTTATTATATTAGTCGGATATAAATCTCACTAACGGATTATCATCATTAATAATAACAGATCATTATTATTCCAAGAATATTAAAGTATTTCCAAACATTAAAAAAATAATAATAAAGAGCAGGAGTAAACCGACAAGTAAGTTGATTAAATTAAATAAAATTATTTATCTGATATGAATAATTTACATGTAGTTTTGTTTCAAGACCCTTCCCCCCTCCCAATCTAGTCACTTAGTTGTTTTTTTCTCATTACATAATTAAAAGAAAAGAATGTATTATCCCTAGTTTATTAGTTAATATGCTAATATTTCCGACTAAACATACATATGAGTAGTGGGATTCGAATATCTGGATTCATTTGTTTAATCTTTTGTTTATTATAACTAGGTACTTAGATGAGTAGTATAATTGTATATATATATAGTAAGCTTATTTATTGATTTACATTGTTACTTATAAAGGATCAAATGGTAATCCTTTTAGATATGAGTATTGATTATGCATACTTTATAATTTTCCGTTATCAATATTAAGGGATTCAATTGTTATGTATACTAATAAAAACTAATCAATTATTATCAACAATTAGAAATATACAAATTATTATAAATGACTTAATACTCGTTAAACAAGTTGATGACTATCTGGACTTAGTAGTTTCATGGTTATCACATGGATTTTTTTTAGGTGATAGATACTTTATTTGACTCTTATTGTAAATATCAACTATTGAATTTAAATAATCACAGATGAATAAGAATAGCATCATTCACATTATTTTTTTAATGATATCAAGGTAGTGGAAGGTCTACTGTAGTGGGATTGTAGATGTGTAGTTCTAAGAAGTTTCGTAACAGGACAAATTTGCTATCCAGTACTATTTGGTCTCAAGGGTTGATTAATTAAGATCAATCTGTGATATAAATAATGAACAACTACTGATTTTCGTTGAATACAAATATCAAGCAGTAATTATGACCTTCAGGTTTCTCTTGGGAAGTATAGTACATTGTAGTCGAGGTAACAGAACCTAATGGTATACACTTTTATCTTCGTAAATATTGGACGTTAACCCCTACTTGTCACCATAACATTAAAATAAATATTTGTCATTGTGAAAATTATTCTATCATTAAATGTCATCTATCGGAAAAAAAGTTATCAATTTTATTATCGATAACACTGGTAATTTTTTTCCTGTAGTAAATTGATGGAATTTGAAGAATGGATATCATTAACTTTTGATCTAATACTTCTTTGGCACTTCTCTTGATGTAAGAATTGACTGTCTTTCTGTTACATTCAGAAATGAGTTAATGGATAGAAATTTAAACGATTCAATATCCTTAATAGTTGAATTCACGAGTCGATACAACCTAGGTCAGCATTCAAAACATGGAATCACTGGATGACCGTTTCGTCCTAGCGTAGCATTCCTCAGTAGTGCACATCCACGATCCCACATGTGGAAATCGAATCCACGATCTTCGGTTTTGCGTGAGAACAATCAACCTCTAAATCACTGAACTGAAATCCAATGTTGTTAATATCTAACTTCGATCGATTCATGATCTTACGCAACCCTTAATTGATTATTGATTCTCAAGGTAAAAACATTATTATTGAATAAAAATCACCTAGATGACCTTTTTTTAGTCTATCAAGCTAAAAAACATTGTATAAATTAAATATTGAGAATTAAATCATGTACATTCCTCTCATGTGACCTTTATATTTGAAGTGCATGGAAATGAAAATGTTTTTTTTTCAATCACCATCTTATTGCGTAACATTTAACAATCACTAACTCAATAACTAACAAGAATCTAATAAGTAACCAAAATGTTATAAGGTGTAAATTAGCGATTTTTATACATAAATGATTGATTACTCTCCAAGATTCATTTCATTTACAATCATTTGGTTGATTAAAATTGAACAAAGTTAAAAGTCTTAGTTAAAAATTATGTATTCAACTATCGTTTTGCCTAACATACTGAATTATCCATGACGTAATTTATCGATTAATTACCATGTATCATTGTCACATACATATATCCGTCAATATTCATTGTAATTGTATGTTATCAGCGTAACTATTCAAGAGGTTTTTCTGGATTAACTATAATAATACTGTAGGTAAAAGTATTTGTCACAATTATCACTAGTAATATTACATAATTCTTACTTTGTAGATTGAAAATTAATTAAAATTTAACTTGTACCAGTGGGTCTTGACTCAATGTCTCTAATGGCTAATTTTACACTTCAGGCCTAAAACTAATGAATTCAACCCATATTAGAGTTATGGATGTCAGCTGTTAAGTAACCTCATACTATAGTGAAAAATCTATCTAGTACTTTCTAGTTCTCTGTAATTGCCTAACCAAAGATAGTCTATGATGTGAAACTTCAAACATAACAATATCTACAATATTTAATAAGGAGGTTGTTATAAATCTGACCTGACAGTATAGTTGAATAAAAAGTTATTTATCTGATTTGAAAATTAATTTCTAATATGAAATCTAACACTAACTAATAAAAAGCCATTAGCAGTTAAGGAAGACTTGATAGGCTGAGACAAAATATGGAACCTGAGAACTTTGACTGTTTATTTAGTTAACATTAAATGACTCTTATTTTTAACAAATAAACAGGATGGGGGATTAATGACATTGTAGTGATTTTAATGGTTGAATTCAGAAGTCGATGTTAGCTAGACCACTATTGAAAATCTGAAAGTTCAATCCGTGTCGATTGGAGACCGTTATTCACTTCAGACAATCAATGAACGGTTGGATAAGATCATGAATCGATCGAAGTTACACATTAACACCTTCGGATTTCGGTTCAGTAGTTTAGAGGTTAAACGTTTAAACGCAACACCGAAGATCATGGATTCTATTTCCACGTGTGAGATCGTGAATGTGAGCTACCGAGGAGTCTTGTACTACGACTAAACGGTTATCCAGTGATTCCAGGATTTGGATGATCTATCTCAGATCGACTCATGAATTTAATTATTAAAATAAACAGTCATTTTCATCTATTACATGTTTAACCCTACAGAAACTGGTAACTATGTAATGCTAAATTCAATTTAATACAACTAACGTAACCAACGGATAGATATGATCTATATTTGTCTGTTTCCCTAATTTTTTTCCACAGCGAAATGGTTTCGATTAGAAACATTAAAATTAATTAAATGAATAAATTACAAGTTTCGCAGTAAATATGACGGATAAAACAGCATGAATAATGAATTTTAAGTCAAGCTAATTATTATATTGATAAATATAAGTCATTTGACTATGTGATTGATTTTCATTCGAAAATTAGTATCCCATAATAACGCTGAACATATTTAAATTTATCACAGCAATTCCTGATTTTTATCCAATATTACTAAGATTATTAACAAATGATAATATATAGTAGTAATAAGCTAGTGGCTATCAGAACTCAGTAGCTAAATGGATAACGTGATAGTGTTTGAAGCGAATGGTAATGCATTCCAATCCCTGATTGAACAATAACTCCGGGATGTTGGTACATCCAGGTGACAAGTCCCAAATAGGATGAAACGCGCGTCCTGGATCCCACTACCAGCCATCATCCATTTTTGCTTATAATGCTTGTGTCGTAAGGTAATATCGAGGTAACCCCCACAGAATGAAAATATACCAGTAAGAGGCTTATCAATTGTATTCCTAAACATCAATGAAAAGATTCAAACAATACAAAATGAATAATAATAATGATTTGTATGATACTATTCATGTGGACTTGGAAACTCATTTGTATACTATATATTTATCGCTAGCTTAAACCTCAACTCATACAATTGGTTATTACGAGATTTGGTTGAAATGATAATAGGATCGTGCTAGATCAATACAAAACAATAATTGACACATATAAATATTGATTACTGACATGAATCAAAGAGAAAGTTTCTGAATATGTAGTTGAGATTCTCATGGCAATCCTTTTCAATGATTAAACAACTTAGTCCTATTTGGGACTCGTCAGCTGGATGTACCTGCATCTCAGAGTTGATGTTCAGTCTGGGACTTGAACCCAATACCTCTCGCTTCAAACGCCATTGCGTTATTCACTCAGCCACTGAGTCGTATTAGTACATAGAAAATAAGTACTAACTTAAATCAAGACCCATTCATACCGAGGTTATAAGTCGTTAATGAATTAAATTATCACAATTTCTTCTCTTTATAAGTGTAGATATCTTTGAGACAATTAAAACATAAGAGACTTAAGAGAACCTTAAGATTTCCAAAGTATTAATAGGTTATTATTATTATCATTATTATTATAATATAGAGAATCTTATTTGTGTCATAATATAATATTCAATTGTCATTGACTTATTTATCCTCTTCTTAATATTCAAATGTCAATTTATTAAAAATTCGATACATTCTCTTATTTATTAGCACAGTATGATAATTTAATAACTACTACTACTACTACTACTACTACTACTACTACTACTACTACTACTACTACTAATAATAATAATAATAATAATAATAATAATAATAATAATAATAATAATAATAATAATAATAATAATAATAATAATGGTATACCTACTTCATACTTCACACACAATATTTACTTAAAACGTAATACTATCAACAGTAAACTAAAAGAGTTATATAATGACCTAGAGATAGAAATTCTTGAAGTATCCCCTAATTATTGAATGTTATCTGAATTAATTTTATAAGGATTAATATATATATTCATTGGTGTTTAAGTGTAAATACGAACTATTCATTAAGTATAAGACAATATATAATCGATGTTGAGGCATCTTTTATATGTGTATATTAGATTGTTAAGAATATGATCACATAAATCCGACTTAAGTAGATTGATTATTATTATGTCTCTGTCAATTTATTCACTAGATATCCTGCTATGATACTGCCCATTAGCTAAAACCGGAGTAGATGAAATAGATTTCTAGCTTGGGATATAGTAGCTTCAAATAGAATATTTTAAACATTAAACCACTATTCCACAAAATAGATAGAAGCGAGTTCAAGATTGGAATTCAGAGATTTATCATTTCTAAAACTAAGGTAATACTGTTATTCGAAAATTAAATTACGAAAAGTTATAAAAACTAGTTTTGCCAGTTACTTGAAATTTAGATTCAAAAATGCATCGAAACTATTTTAAATTATTAAAGTAGATTACATCACATTTTATAAATACATTCAACTGACTCATGAATTCAACTATAATAATACTAAAATCTCCACAAAATCCTTTTTTGATAAAATTAATCATATGCCCACTATTGACTGGCTTCAATAGATATTTCCTGGAGTTCTAGCGAGAAGCAGTGACCAATAGAGTTCAACCAGGTCTGTTGTGAGATATCAACTCACTGAAGACAATAGTGGACGGTTGCTCAATTTCGTGGACTGGTTGAAGTTAGACAATAACACCGTTCGATGCCAGTCAGCTCATTGTTCTAGATGTTAAGCGATCGCACGCAAGACTGGATAAGTCCTGGGTTGGAATCTGCCGAGGCGGGATGGTGGATGTACATTGCGGAGGAGTCCCACAATAAGACGAAACAACCGTCCAGTGCTGCCAGGTTTTCCATGGTGATCTATAAAATATATTTGTATTTAAATTCACTTAGTATTGTTTGTTTGAATATTTGTTTTGACTGGCTAATTACATTTAAAAATGTACAATATACTCATCAAATTTTTCAATTTATTACGGTACTGTAAAAAATAAAACATTTTGGTGTTTTCACTAAAGGAAAGAAATTTGATTAAACTTCAAATTTTTATCAGAATAGGGATTTGTAGAGATTGTGAGAATCTTAATAGTTGAATTCATGAGTCACCATCCAAAACCTGGAATCACTGGATGACCAATTCATCCTAGCATAACACTCCTCAGTAGTGCACATCCACGATCCTACATGTGGGAATTGAATCCACGATTTTCAGTCTAGCGCACGAACGATTAACCTCTAAACCAGTGAGCCGAAATCCAACGGCGTTAATGTCTAACCTCGATCGATTCATGATCTTACTCAACCGTTCATTCATTATCTGAATTGGATAAGCGTTTCCAATCGACACAGATTGGACTACACTGGTCACTGCTTCTCACTCGAACTTCAGGAATTATATCTTGAAGCTAGTCACTAGTGAGCATATGATTATTAACAGAATGGGGTTTTGTGGAGATTGCAGTAATTTTAATAGTTGAATTCATGAATCGATTTAACTTTTTGGATTATATTTATTATTTATATTGATAATGACAATCATTTTAGATATAAAACTAGTTACAAACTTTACCAGTTACAAAAACTTCCAATTTGAAATTATAATATATAGTTTGATATTTCTTGGATAGTTACAAGCTAAATTTATATCAAAAATTCCTTTAAATTCAATAACTTGGTAGATAACACACTGAAACTTTGTAGCATAAGGTGCTGGACTCCAGTGTTGGTGTGGAAATGAATATTACAATACACGTGTAATCGGTCGATGAGTTATAAATAGGATAGAATAGGTTTCTTGTATCCAATTACTGACCGCGTATCAGATATACTTAATAGAACTTTAGCACAATATTGTATATTTTAACTTCGAAATGTCTCATCATAAAAGAATATATTTTGTCGAATACGACCATTATTATTATTATTATTATTATTATTATTATTGCCATTTAGATTTTATTTATACTCACAATGAACAATCCAGTTTCAATCCATACCTCGAATACTCAACACCAGTTAATGAACCCATTATTCATGAATAAAATTGAATCCTTATCGCCTAAAAGCTCTTTATCACCATGTGCTATAAATAATCAGTCTATATCACATCACTTTTATACACATAATTATTCTCTTATTAAAACCCCGAATCTATCTTATTCCGATCAAAGTAACCTGAATCCTTCAGTCATCAATGTATCAACGGACTTAACAAATTCACCTGAAACATCAACATTTTCAAGAAATGATGTACTTGATTTAAAAAATATTAGAAATTCCAATTTTTGTTCTGAATCTAATTTATTATCATCATTTGTTGCATCTTCCTCTTCCTTCTCTTCCTCGTCTTCAGTATCATCATCATCATCATCGAGATCAGGAACATTGACAGCATCAAATTCAACGGATGAATTGCCTTCTGTTCAAATTCCAATGTTACTTTCATCTAGTTCATTCGAATTCAACCCTGGTACCACGCCTACTTCTATTACATCTATTACCACCGTAGCTGGTAATAGTGACAATAATAATAATAGTAACTATGATCTGGTGGAATCATCTAATGATATGCAAAATTTATACATAAATACAATGAACTGTCAATACAATAGTAATGAGTTAATTAATTCACACAGTTCTACTCCATTACATTTAGTGAATTATTCAAATCTGATAAACTATTCACCAAGTAACGAGGATTATCATCAATTAGGTGGCTATCACCAATGTCATCCTCAACAGCATCATGAGAATCAAGTAAGCTTTGTTCACGTTTTAGTACTTATTTATTTATAATAAAACACTATCGACTTTTAGAAAAAAAGAGAGAAAATAATAATATTCATGTTACGTCTATGTATGTTGTTTATTGGGAAGTGCTTAACTAACTTGTGCTTGATACTGAAAACCCCGTGATGAAAACACAATACTGTTGAAATGGGCTTATTTGATTCACAAATAAATCAATATGATATGTATGAAAACACCATTTCTTATATGATTTATTTATAGTCAGATTAAATGTCAAAATTGTATAATTAGAATTGAGTAGTATATAACATCAATGCTTAGGACTGCAACTGGTCAGTCTCTTATTGGCATATGAGCATGCTGTGTGTATTGCCTCAATATAGTCTTAATATGCACAGTATGCACATATGCCAATTAGAGACTGATCAGTTGCAGTCCTAAGTATCACCGGAAGATTCAAACAAACAATACCAAGTGAATTTAAACTTCACCTCATTGCACAAGCATGTGGCTATTAGGACTCAGTAGCTGAGTGGATAACGCGATGGCGTTTGGAGAGAAAGGTACTGGATTCGAGTCCCAGAGTGAACATCAACTGTGAGTTGCAGGTACATCCAGCTGACGAGTCTCAAATAGGACGAATCGCACGTCCTGGATTCCACTGCTAGCCACTATCCATCTTTGCTTATTTGGTATTTTGTTTTACATTTTTAAAATTTACCTCAGATTAGTTAAAAATATATTTGTTTAAAAACACTTTTAAATAAACCTGATTACTTATTGATTGTGAAATTGTAATAATATACATAAGAGTTAGCACTTAGTCCCACTTCTAAAATTTCATACTAAAACATATATCTTTATCGTTTTTTATCCAGTCGAAAAACTAGCATTTATCATTGATGACTAGTTTTGAGATGTAATTCTCGGTTAACTAGGGGTTCAACTAATTCTAATGTGATAAAGTAACCCATCAGTGTCATTAAGAGATGGTTGCATAATATTTTGAATTGGCTAAAATTACAAACATGAACCAAGTAAGTGATTAACAAGTTAAACACTCAATGTAAGAACCAGAAGGTCCTATATTTGATCTCTTGTGGTGAGGTCTCATACAAGGTCAAACCAGTGTTTTTTGGTTTTCAGTGGCTGATTAAATATTTTAGCTTGTATCATAAATTATAAAAAATTATGCAAGAATTTAAAAAAAATTTTGAGCTCTCAATATCTCACTTATATGTCTTTTGTAATAATTATATATCATTGAATATTAAGTTCATTGTTAACTGTCCACACTCTCCCACACACACGCGCATAAAACTGTTGACTTCAATTTTGATCAATGCAAAAAGCTTTGTCATGTATGGGTTGTGGATATTTAGATTTTCAGATTCAGATATAAGTGTTGACGATAAAAAGCCATTGGCTTATGTTAGTCGTGTTCTGTGGATGCTTAGTCTTCACTTGAATGAGTCAATTGAAGGTGCGAGCACCAGTTCTTATGGTAGTATGTTCTAAAAATTCAGAACACAGTATGAAGCCCTGTATGCTCTTAGCTTTTGATTTCACTACCATGTCTTCTGAGTTGTCTTGATCCAACAGGAAGAGGAAGAAGAAGGGAAGATATATCAGGTTCAAAAACTATTTCTTAATATTTTATGCACAGAAATCAGATCACTGCTTAATATTCATCGAGACGGATTAAAGATTTTTTATTTTTCAAGTCGCCCTGTGTATGGTGAGCCTCGAAATCCTCTAATTTTACGAATAGTTGTGCTTTCTACTATCACCAAGATATCCTAGTCAACATTTTAAACAATAACGTCTCACAATAAGATAAAACGACCGTCCAATGCTTCCAGTTTTCCCTGGTAGTGTAACTTCAATTGACTCTCGCTTTTAACTATGAAAATACTAAATCTCCACAAAAACCCCCTTCTCATAATAATAATCATAAACTTACTAGTGACTGACTTCGAGAGGTAAACCCAGGAGTTCTAGAGAGAAGCAGTGACCAGTGGAGTTCAACCACGTCTGTTATGAGATATCAACTCACTGAAGACAATTGGTGAATGGTTGCTCAACTTCGTGGATCAGTTGAGGTTAGACATTAACACCATCGGATGCCGGCTCAGTGGTCTATCGGCTAAATGCTCGCGAGCGAGACTGGTAGGTCCTGGGTTCGAATCTCGCGAAGTGAGGTCGTGGGTGCGCACTGCTGAGGAGTCCCACAATAGGACGAAACGGCCGTCCAGTGCTTCAACTATGAAAATAACTTACAGTTTGAACGAAATGTTGAAGTTTAAATGTCATTCAAGTTGTGAAAATTATAAGAAATAATTCTTTTTAACAAAATGGTTCTCTTCTGTCTCTGATATTTATTGTGTGTGTGTGTTTGTGTTTTCTTTTTTCAACATTTAAAGCCTCTAGAGAAAAGTTCATTAGATGATTCAAAGTCAATTAATTTCTCTTTAAATAATTTATATTGGAATACTACTTCAGATGAATCTCAATTATCATGTATTGATAAAGTTATGGAAAACACAAAAAAAGCTCTTTGCCCAAATAGTACAAATATAACAAATACTACTAATAATACTACTGAAAAACTAGATCAATTAATACATCAAAGCACTGATCTCAATCATCATAAATATCATTATTCAAAATTATTTCATTCATCAACTAATGAACTTATTGAATATAAAAATAAATTTAAAACAAATTTAATAAAACAAGAATTTGAAATGAATTCACCATCATTATCAACTTTATCTTCTGGATCTGTTTCATCAACACCATCATCATCTTCATCATCATCATCATCATCATCATCATTATCAACGACAACTTCCACTACATCAACATTAGTAGAGACAATGTCATCAATATTATTAAAACATGAACCAGACAACTCTGTCTATAATTTAAACCAAGATAAAAGAATACCAATCATAAATTCGGACCATTATCCTCATATAACATCATGGTCAAATTCAGATTTGTCAATCTCTTCCATTAATAATAATAATAATGATATAAAACTGGAAACAAAAGATGTCCATCATGATGAATGTGATAATCATTTAAATCATGATCATAATAGTAATGGTAATAATAATGATCGAATGGAGTCGAACAATCAACTTGAACAATCAAAGCAATTATATGAAAATTATTCCGAAAATAAGTATAGTTTAAATAATAATTCACCAAAACCTAAATATCAAATTGCATTATCATTAACAGCCAATATTTATCCAACAATCAATTCAAATTATGGTAGATTAAAACAAAAAAATAATACAATATGGAATAATAGTAATGATAATAATAATAATAATAATGGTTACCATTATACAGAATATGAAAGTAGATTAAAAACTACCCATACTCATCTATCAACTGATCATAATACAATTCATCAACAACAATTAATAATGAAACAAAATGAAGAGATGATAGTAAATACAGTGAACAATGAACATTTAACATATTTAAATGAAACTATTCCAATTATACAAAATCATTCTAATGATTTAGAGTTTCTGCCATATTTCAATGGACATCATCATCATCATCATCCTCATGATCATGATCACCATAGTAACCATCACCATCATGAGTATTATACACAACATATGAAATTGTCACCATTTTTAATGTCTGATTATAATAATGAATATATTCATTATCGAAATAATAATAATAATCATTTTTCAGATGATTTAAGAAATCATGAATCTAGTATCATTCAAATGAATAAATTAAATTATTCTACTAATACTACTAACGATACTACTAATACGTCTGTTAATAGTAGTATTAGTAGTAGTAATGTTAATCGTGATCTCTTTGATAAATACAATCATGAATTATATACTAATTCAGATAATAATCCATATTCTATTTATACCAGCAATTATTCAGAAATATCAAATTATCCATTTGATGTAAATAATACTACATCATCAATTAATGTTTCGAATACTTATTTCGACAAAGGTAATAATAATAATAGTAATAGTAATCGAAATGATTCTAGAAATGTATTAAGTAGTATAACATTGCCAAATTCATCAAAATCTAATCATTTATCTTTAGAAGTTCATGATCAATCTACTGATACTGATCAACATGATATACATTATTTACATAGTCATCATCATGATCATTCTCATTCGAATGTCCACGTCTATCCGACATTGAATCAACTTCCTTGTCAGTATAATCAACATCATCATCAACATCATCATTATCAATCTTTGTTATCTGATTTTAATTCAGAATATACAAATCTATTTACGAATACAATGAATTATCATTCATTTAATAATGAATTAAATGATAATTATAATAATTCTTTATCACCAACATTGGCATCATCATCATCATCATCGTCAGAAGTGTGTTCAAATAATTCAAATACAACTATACCACATAAATATTCAGCAAGTAATATAAATATGATGAATTCATATGATCCAATGACATTTTTACAAGAAATGAATTTAAATAGAATTCATTGTAATAATCATAGACATCATTGTAACAATATGAATACAACCACTTCTACTACGAATATATCAACCACTACTAATAGTAATAGTATTAGTAATAATAATAATCATAATGATAATTCTGGAAGTAAACATACTATGAATGAACAATTTAATCGCCAAACAACTCCATATAATTTATTAGAACAATCAAATAATTTCTTGATGGCTGCTGCTGTTGTGGCGGCGGCTGCTGGTTCAACACCGAATGATTTAAATATATCTACAGGTAAGTTATACAAACTACATGTTGATTTTTTCCTCGTTATGTCTGAATATTTCTGTTTAGTGTAAATAGAATGGTTTAAAAATAGTTTTTATTGGTGGATACGTCGCTAGATTTCGTGGATTGGTTGAAGTTAAACATTAACACTGTTGGATACCGGAAAGCTCAGTGGTCTAGAGGTTAAGCGTTCGCGCGCGAGACTAACAGGTACTAGGTTCGAATCTCGCGAGGCAGGATGGTGGATGCGCATTGCTGAGAAGTCCCACAATAGAACGAAATGGACGTCCATTGACTCCAGGTTTTCCATGGTGGTCTAGCTTCAATTGACTCATGATTTCAACTATATACGAAAATGTTTGTCTTCTCAATATATAAAACTGCTAATTAATGAAAAGTGATAATTTCATACCGTAATAAACCCAGTATAGTATCATAGTAGTATAAACGAAACATTAAAAGTATCAATGTCAAACTTGATTTTAATTTGTTAAACAGATAAATTTAACAAAAATGTGATGAAAAAGAAACTGAAAGGTCATTTTGTACATAAACTTGACATAATCTGAATTAACTAACAGAAAAAATATTCCCATTGAATTTCAAGGTTTTCAAGAGCGCCTTATTGCCCTGGTATGGCTGAGAGTGGTGAGATCCCACTCTCCCTCTCGAAATGCTCTCACATGGCCACGCGTATATAACCTCTGCCAGGGAAGTCCTACTCACTACCTTCTCATGACATTACTGTTGTTTACGAAATTGAGAGGACGGAAAGCAATTATCTAGCGCTTTAACCGGGTTGGTGGACATGGAGAGTCAACCTAGGGGAGTTTGAAAATCCTGATTCCAAGCCAATGGTGTACATGGAATCCAAGATCTTGAAGGAACAAATGGCGTATGAACCTATTGTTGCTCACCACCTACCATGGGACTGCATCTCCTCACGATGCTCCACTGCCTTGTGGATCAGACGTTTAGGTCAAAGGCTTGGGGTGTGGCCTCCTAAGAAAACCATCTGCCTCAGTTAGGGCACCTGAGCAGTATCACTGCCCTCACACAAATCAAATGACATTTTGTTTTGCGCATTTATATCTGGTGCCCCTTTGTACCAATATTTATGTGTTCAGATAAATAAATAAATCACTTATGTGTTGTCATAAGGATAATGTGTTTGAACGACTGAGTGGGAATTCACTGATCTACGATTTCAGTTTAACTCCAAGGATAAATCAGTCTATATCAATGTATTCGTACACAGGTTCATCATATTCTTTTTGAGACAAAGCAGTACAGTTTATCATTTAAAATCATACATTTCTTTATATTAATCACATAACAAAATCTTACTATGTAATCTAACTACATATTTTGATTCAAACAACATTTTGGCAATTATTTAATATCAGTAAGAGAATTTGTGGCGATTGTAATATTGCTAACAGATAAATTCACTAATCGATCTATGCTAGATTACCATTAGGAACCTGATCTAGCTTAAATCGACCAGTGAATTAAACTGTTAAAACTTTTGTCTCAAAAAGAATATGATGCACCTATATACGAAAACATTGATATAAATTAGTAAGCCACGAGAAGGCAGTGAGTAGGACTTCCCTGGCAGAGGCTATATACGCGTGGCCGTGTGAGATCATTTGGAGAGCGGACTCTCCCTTCTCTCGGCCGTACCAGGACATTTGGGGGCTAATCCTTATGTGAATGGTGAGTGTTCTCTCTTTAAGAATCTCAAAATAGAATGAAACAAGCATCTAGTACATTTTTGTTTTCAATAGTTTAAATAACACCTTATACCATTTTATGAGGTGAACTTACTTTAACTTGTACAATCTACACAAACCGTAGACATTTCACTAACTTTATTTCACATTTTCGTATATAGTTGAAATCATGAGTCAATTGAAGCTAGATCACCATGGAGAACCTGGAAGCTTTGGACGGCCATTTCGTCCTATTGTGGGACTCCTCAGCAATGCGCATCCATGATCCCGCCCAGCGGGATTCGAACCCAGGACTTTTCATTAACTTTATTTCAACCTCAGTATTGTTTGTTTTTGAATCTTCCCATCGATATGTTAGGACTGCAACTGGTCATTCTCTAATTGACATATATACATACTGTGCCGATTGCCTTGATATAGCCTTAATTAACAAGCATGGTAAGCAGAGATGGATAGTGGCTAACAATGGAATCCAGGTTGACGCGCGGTTCGTCCTATTTGGAACTCGTCAGCTGGATGTACCTGCATCTCAGAGCTGATGTTCACTCTGAGACTCGAATCCAATACCCTCGCTTCAAACGTCATTGCGTTATCAACTCGGCTACTGAATCCTGATAGCCACTTGCTTGTGTGATGAGGTGAAGTCTAAATTCATTTAGTATTGTTTTTTTTTTAATCTTCCCAACGAAACGCGCGTCCTGGATTCCACTGCTAGCCACTATCCATCTCTGTTTTATTTCAATCTGTTTTTTTTTTAAAAATAGTTTTCATTTATAATTAATAACATATGGGTTTTCTCAAATGGTTCATATCGGATCGCTTGAAAATTATGATGAATTCATAGATTAACAAAGATTCATTCACCTGCTCTCTCATATACATTTTACATAAGTCTTACTAGACATTCACACCTAACACATCGAATCTATATAATTACAATGAAAAACTTTTTTTTGTGTGGTTCAACTGGTTCAGTGAAATTATTATATTCACATAATTACACCTTAGGGAATAGATTTCATATGATCACCATCTATTTTTTTTGTTTAACTATTCATTTTATTGTGTCAAAATGTGTTTGCATAGAGTTAGATCATCACATTGAAAGATGAATCTTATTTCATAAGATATTGATATGAGATTGATTATGTAATACATGATGAGAGTTATTAACACACATTTGAAATATGTTAGATTGATAGACCTTAAATATCTCCATTTCTTTATTTTAAACCATGGCACCTATAATGTGTAATTAACTGAAACAATTTGATAATTGATACAGTCGGTTAAATTTCGGAAATTAGTAGTCATTTGTAAGATTAAATGTGAATATATGAGATAATAATCATTATTCTTCATATTGTAAAAGTAGGAAAATGATGAATTTGCAACGACAAGCAGTTAATATGATCTCAATTACATCGTCGTAATACTATTATTAAACAAATGATATGAATTAGCGTATGTACAATTTCGACAATCCCATAAGGTTTATATGTTCCTCCATCATGAAAACAAGAATGATCCGTTTACGGACATAAATATGACAGTGCGAGCCACCATATGGCCTGTTAATTAAGTTTTTTCACGGGGTCTAGATGACTTAGCACCGAAAAGTTTATATTTACGATCGCCACATTTTGGAAACATTTCACGTTTCTTTACACAGATATAGACAACCATGCCATCGGAAGTTTTAACTTTCTTTCTCATGTTAGAATTAGTAATATATGATAAAATGCGCCTTACAGTCAACCACTGCATGTTTGTCAACCAATAATATAATACAAGTTGGAGGCTAGCAATGTAATCTAGGAATCACATTTTGTTCACTCTGGATGTCAAGTGCATCCAATCGATGAGTACCATATCGAACAAAACGGAAGATCCTATTATTTGTCTTTGAATCTAACAATTTATAACATGATTACTTTATTATCATTATGGACCTATTGGTATTAATAGTTATGGGTTTATACGCACGAGATTGAAGATTCCGGGCTATAAACTTTTGTGATGAGGCCTTGGATGCATACTTCCGTTTAAGAGTATTCTAAACAGTTAACGAATTTGCATGTTGGGTTTTCAGAAAAACATTTTTCATTTTATAGTATATAATAACTTGTCAAAGATAATTTCTGTCACATGAAATGTTAGTATTAGTGATCACTATAAGTTTTGAAAATTTTTATATATTACGGATTGATATTTGTCCTATAACCACTGAAAACCAGAACCTATTGAATAGTTGTGTTCTTACTTTGGAACTCATAAATACTGCCTAAATAACATTCCAGATGAGATCGTAATTCTAAATTTCAAGTTGCTTGACGAGCACGACAAATTAACTGCTCATAGTTGGGGTCTAACTATGTGATGAACTCGCGAATTAATGTTGAAAAGCGGTAATTGATTGGTTTCAATTATGTTGATGGTGAGACAATTATCAGTACTGATATTAGGTGTTCATATTCATATATCATGAAGTGGATATAACTTCAAGTGTAAACCATTGAAACTCTTTTCTTAATGGAACTTAAACGTTTTGAGAAATTAAGGGAAACCAATTTCACAGTTAATATTACTACAATCTACTAAAATAAAAAAATATTGTAAAATAACGTAGAGATTGTTGAACTCAAGTTATTTTCTTATCACTTTTGGGTTACTTGACGGACATCATAGTGAAATTTACTAAGATAAGAACAATGAACAACTGGGTGCCAAACTCACTAGTCTGAATTTCAAATGTAGGCAATGACGCTTTAATGTACTAAGATTGGGTCCCTAGTAGGATCATGAGCATACACAACTAAGAAGTTCCATATTTGAGAGTGACAGCTACTCAGTGCCCTCTAGTTATCAATAATGGTCAAACTAAAGTTAGTCTGTCATGTATATACGTTTGAAGTTATTAGTTTTTCGTCTTTTTTTCTTTTTGCAAAAGAAACTTTTTGAAATATTTTGTGCTGAGAATCCTATATTGTACCAATAATATAATATTGAGTAAAGAAATTATTATTACTACTATACTACTAATGATAATAATGGCAGACTACATGTTATTTTAAAAACTGTAACTGATCTAACAACATCAGAAGAAGGTTTTGTGGAGATCTTTGTAATTTTGTAGTTGTTTTAACAGGTCAATTGAAGTCGGACCATCATGGAAAACCTGGGAGCACTGGATGGCCGTTTCGTCCTAGTGTGAGACTCCTCAGCAGTGCACATCCACGATCTAGCCCCCATAGGACCTGGACCCAGAATCTATCGGTAGATGCGCGAGGACTTAACCTCTAGACCACTGAGCCAATAGGTCCTGGGTTCGAATCTCACGAGGCGAGATCGTGGATGCGCACTGCCAAGGAGCCCCATAATAGGATGAAATAGCTGTCCAGTGCTTCTAAGTTTTCGATAGTGGTTTAACTTCAATGGACTAATGAATTCAACCACAATCTAACATCTGCGAAATTTTTGTACTTTCAAAGTATAATTGTCGACGTTCCATAGTGTAAATTTATGTTACGTGTGACATTATTTTCAAACATAAAGTAAATTCAATGTATAAGAATTTGTAAACCATTTTCATGATATCAATTCGGTAAAACTCATGTTAATCTAAAAAAAATTGTAATTTTCATTCATCTATCACACGTATACGTATGAAATCTCTCATTGTTTTACTGTATATTAATTACAACGTTACTTATCAGAATTCAAAAGTGACCGCTTCCTAAATGACTGTGTTGAGGGAACTGTTAAAGCTGAAAGAAGATTTTGAGTGATGAACACCCTTTGGTTATATTAAGAAATGTAATATAGCTCATTTATGAAGTGTAGTTCTACGTACTGCATTAGACTTTCCGTTTAAGGACTAGTGATATTACCTTATAATCTAAATGTAATTGGATGAGTCGAAGTTAAATCCTGCAATCTGTTAATCAAAATCGGATTCTTAAATCACAAAGCTTAAAATTCACAAACTAATTAGTTGTTTATATTAATAAAATGTGGGAGTATTTTACGTTGGGAAAGCAGCAGGACTTGACAACATGCCAACTGAAACAATGAAAGCAGACATAGAAGCAACTGCAAACATGTTCCACGTTCTTTTCAGGAAGATTTGGGAGGAGGAACAATCGCAGATGGACTGGAAAGAAGGATATCTTGTCAAGATTCCAAAGAAAGGATATCTGAACAATTTTGAGAACTACTGGAGCATCACATTACTATCGGTACTACGAAAGATTTTCAATAGAGTGTTACTGAACCCGATGAAACATTCAGTGGACGCCCGGCTTCAAGATCAACAGAGCGGATTCCGTAAGGATCGGTTGTGCACAGACCAAATCGCGACACTACGGATCATCGTTGAATAACCAATTCAGTGGAGCTTGTCACTATACATCAACTTCCCTGAATATGAAAAAACATTTGACATTGAAGATAGGAGAACAGTATGGAACCTTCTTCGATGCTATTGTGTACCTGAGAAAATCCTCAACAGTAAACGGAATTCATACAACGAACTACGGTGCAAGGTTGCGCATAGAGGACAGCTGACAGATACATTCCATGTGAGGACCGGAGTCAGACAAGGATGCTTACTCTCGCCCTTTCTCTTTCCTCTGTTGGTTAACTGGATTGTGAAAACCTTGACATCTGAGGGGAAGCACGGAATACAATGGACAACGTTGTAAATTAAAATATCTTTTAGATTTACTATAGAATAAACAAAGATATCCAATTACATTTTCATTCATAATTCTCCACAGGATATAACATTAAGAGTACACGATTAGTTTGTGTAATGTATTTGTGCATTTAATGTAAAAACCATTATTTACACAGTTTTCTTTATTTCTATTCAAGGTAATCCAGTTCGTCGACAACGACGTGAACGTACAACATTTACAAGACATCAATTATTAATGTTAGAAGAATTATATGCAAAAACACGTTATCCTGATGTTTATATACGTGAAGAATTAGCTTTAAAATTACGTTTACCTGAATCACGTGTACAAGTATGGTTTAAAAATCGTCGAGCTAAAGGACGTAATCAACAAAGACAAAATTCATCAGTTGATAATAATAATAATAATTTAATAAATAAAACTAATAATGTAAATGTTTGTCAATATGAGAATGTAAAATAACTAACTCAAAAGGATAAAGAGAGAATAAATTTAGTTTACATTTCTTTTTCAAGGTATGTTGTTCATTTTGAATATATTTATGATATATCTATGAATATACTAAACTTTAATAGTTGAAATCATGAATCAATTGAAGCTAGACCACCATGGAAAACCTGGAAGCACTGGAAGGCCGTTTCGTCCTATTATGGTACTCCTCAACAGTGAGCATCCACGATCCCGCGCTTGCGAGATTCGAAACCAGGACCTAACAGTCTCGCGCACGAGCGCATAATCAATAGATCACTGAGACGGCATCCAGAGGTGTTAGTGTTTAACTTCAACCAATCCACGAAGTTTGAGCAACCGTTCACCAATTGTCTTCAGAGAGTTGTTATCTCACAACAGACGTGGTTGAGCTCCACTGGTCACTGCTTCCCACTAGAAATACAGTATTTTGAAGTCAGTCACTAGTGAGAATATGACTATAATCCGAAGGGGTTTTGTGGAGATTTCAGTATAGCTTCAATTGACTCATGATTTTAACTATGAAAATTACTGAAATCTCCACGAAACCCCTTCTGAATATACTAATCAATGATCTTGACTTTGTATCCATTACACTCAAATGAATAACCTTTCTCTGTATTGAATAAAATATCAATAGTTGTACTGGCGTAGTTACCAGCTTTCAAATTCCCTACATTCAACAGACTTCATTGTTTAGTTTGATTTGATTTCCAAACGAATAAGGAGTCATTATAATCTAAGTAGGTGAGCTGAAGAGCACTTAAAATAAATTAGTTTAAACTTACTATATTCATAATCATCTTTGCCCTCCATGAATAGGTTTAAGTTCAGTAAAACATTTTGAGGTCCTTTGAAAAATAACACAGAAATAAGATTTATATCATTTGAATATATATAATAATGGATCTCTTGTGGTGTATGTTACTGATGTCGACAGATATAAGCAGTATACGTCACTAGTTGAAAGTGAAATACCTAGAAGCAGAAGGTTGGAAGATCAAAGAGAAGAGAAAGAGAGTGATTGTTATGGAAATGAAAGAACAATCAAGTCTGAAATAATTGATTGTGTTAAAATACATTTAGTTGTCCCCACTGGTGTTCTTGTCTATAAAACTATAAATAAGTAATTCCTAGTTGATTTATATGTCTTCGAAGATGTATATAAAATTCAGATTACGTGTATAACATGAAATTACTTTAATCTACTTCTCTTTAATATGATAACTTCTGTCATTATGAAATTCATACAGTCGACCTATGGAATTATTGACGGATGTATTTATTTACATAGAATTCCATTATAGTTACACTTAACCAAGTTCCCGACTTTTTGGTCATTCTTTTGAAATGAATAAGAATAAAATTTCTGGGTTGATATCGCATATTGGAAAAATATACATGTCTACTTATTGTTCCACAATTCAATTGCTTACTTATGAGTAGTTTAAATTAAACATTAAAACAAATCACAAATGAAATATTCTGTAAACTGATAACTTGAGCATTTCATTTTTGGAACGGCAAGGGAATAATTATTATTACCTGTTTTTCTGATCCATTAACTTCACGTAAACTTTACGTAAATATTTCATTTCATAGTTATTTCCATGATATAAATCAGTTTGTATGTTAGGAATCCAAATGAATGATGGAGAAGATTTGTAGAATAGGTGGATGATTTTGATGTAGGTTAGAGGGAAAATGGTTTGTTCAAGTATAATCTTACGAATAAACTGATCCAAGAAATATGACACATGAAAATTTTGAAAAATACCAGATTATTTTTGTTTTCTGGGGCTATATGTGTCCTCAGTTGTTTATTTTCGTAAAAAGAAAGTGGTATTTGACAATTTGACAAATACTTCTCTTTAATATGTTTTGGCATAGCGTTTATCGAGATAAGTTAAGGTTTGTTTTAAAATGTTAAATGAGTGTGTGGTGCACACTGCTGTGGAGTCACAATTTATATATAATATACCCCTCTGGGCCAGGGCAGTTTTACATTGGTTCCCAAGAGAACCAGACACCATTCAGACTTTCACGTGATATCCCTAACAGCACAGCTCAATCCCGTTTAGCAGAAGAGCCAGACACTGCCCAGGCTTAATCCGGGCAATACATCTCAATCCAGTTTCGCAGGAGATTCAAACACCATATAGTCTTTAACGCTACAATTTGAATAGTACAGCTCAATCCTGTGACGCAATCACTCAGGCACGAGTCAGGTTGAATAAACTGCCCAATACTTATTAATATTCTAATCGTTCTTTAAATGTTACCAATTCGTGGTTTAAAAATCACTCTTAACTTATGCTGTCTTCATACCTAGGCCTAAGTAAATGAGATTTTTAGGTTTTTGTTAACCATCCCATAACTTCATTACATCAAATGTTTGTGAAATATTTCATCCACTAGTTCTTAACTACTGAAAACATTGTTAGTAGATTCTATTAATCTAGATAAATCACTATCATGTGAATAATTTATATTTCTGATAAATGATTTTAAATAAGTATGACTTAAATTTAATTCAGTCACATATATCAACTCGAGTTAGATTGTAATGTGAGAGTTGTTCAGTGTACTGTGGTTCTCATTATGCTATGGTTACAATAAGGGTTAATAATGAGTTAGTCAGTAAATTCTAAGATATACACTCAAGGCATTCGGTTGCCGGTAGTAGGAAATAATTAAAAGGAAGTTTATTTTTCACCTAACAGTATAAAGTTCGGGTAATCTTGGAAGGACTCATGTTACACGTAGTCCATTATTATGATAGGAAGTGTTTCAAATAGTCCACTCGGTTAACGACTACGTTTTTTACACTAATCCATCGCTAAGTAGCGACCAACATCATGTGTAAACTATAGAACGGATAAAATCCTACTCAGTTGGGTGAGGAAACAGGCTTTAGTCATGAGTCCGGACTCATGAACGGCTGTTTTTTCATCTATCCTTTTCTCTTTTTTTTCTGCATGATCTGCCTTCTTCCACAGAAAACACCTTTGTAAAATATGCAGACAATCTTACTATATCTATGTCTATTTCTACCTCTTTACATCCCATAGAAATGAACGAGATTTTGTCTCGTATTGAATGGTGGTTTGCTGGCAATGGTCTCTTACTTAATCTATCTAAATATCAAGCTGTTAACTTTATCCTGAAACATGGACAGCACCTATGCACTATTTTGGGATCCCATAATGCTTATGCCACAGGGGACTCCTTGATAAACACAGTATTGAAGGTCAATTATCTTGGTATTACTTTTTCCTCTGACCTCCCTTGATCTTCTCATGTTTTACTGTTATCGAAAAAGTTTACCGTTTGACATACTACATAAAGAGGCTGCATGCCTTTGGGATTACTCGCCATTCACTCTTACAATATGTTAATCCCTACATCTTACCTATTATTCTTAATTGTTCTCCATTATTCTTTCTCCGGCTTTTGAGAAAAAACTTTGCTATACTGAGGAGAGTGCTGAAGGCAGTTAGCAAGGTGTGTGGTGTATCTTTTGAGGTCATTATTAATATGGTTGTGGGTAGACATTTTAAGTCTTGCAAACTCCTGGCAGGTGTTATCTTATCAGATACTAACCATCCACTTCATTCATTTCTTTTTCCTTATGTATCTTCCGGTAGAACGAGACGTAAATACATTAAAATCCATGCACGCAAGCAAATATATAGAAGTTCTATAATACCATACCGAGCAAATATACACTTTGACGAACAGATTGTTAGAGTTAACCTAGTCAATAATCTGTATTCCTAAGCATTTCTCAAATTTGACAAGTTGTACGAACTCAAATATTTTTTTTTTTCAGAAGGCGTTTTGTGGATATTACAGTAATTTTAATAGTTGAGATCATGAATCCATTGAAGCTAGACCACAATGGAAAAGATAGTGACTCACTGAAGACATTGGTGGGTGTGTCACTCAATTTCGTGGATCGATTGTAGTTAGACATTAACACTGTTGGATGTCGGTCAGCTCAGTGGTCTAGTGGTTATGCGCTCGCGCGCGACACTGATAGATCCTGAGTTCGAATCTCGCAGGGCGGGATCGTGGATGCGCACTGTTGGGGAGTCCCATAATAGACTGAAACGGTCGTCCAGTGCTTCCAGATTTTCCACGGTGGTGTAGCTGCAACTGATTCATGATCTCAACTATTAAAAATCTATCTTATATCTTCATCATGGTTAATAAGCACAAAGAAGTAACGAAAATTTATTTTCGCTATTATTAATAATCAAATATGCTGATGTTTACTCTTTTATGTTTGATTTTAGCTCATTTATTCCAAAAACAAATGGTATCAATGTCTGCAAACTATCTTACCGTTATCAACAATGCTGCTACATATATAATCGTTTAATGTTCTTACCAATCTTACAAAACGTATTCCATAAAACAATGAAACAATCAACTAATGAATCCATCTTCATGTTTGCCAAATGTCTTTCATTCATTTACTGATTTGAGTATTCGTTCATTCATTCATTCATTCATTCATTCATTCGCTTATTCATTTATTTATCCTTTATGTTGACATAATCTGCCTATATATACATATATATATACAATTACATAAGTGCACAGACTAATAGACCTTAATCCAAACATGTACAGCGTTATAATGAGAGTAATTTACCATTTTATTGATAAGAGATAAACAAATGAATCATTGTAATTCATTCTTCCTCATCTTCTTCTTCTTCCTGGGTTGATATGCTTCTTAGTTCCTTGTTTGGTTAAGTAATTAATTTTATTGGTACAAATTATTCAAGAGTACCATGGAAATTGCTAAAACTTGCATATAATTCACAAATGAGTTGACAGTATGATGTTTAGTCCTTTTGAGTCATATGTATCATATTGGTTTACATATAGTCAAAAGGTAATAAAAGTGAATATATATATATATGCATTTCCATTCAGTTCTCAGTGTTACCCCCCTCCTTTATATAATAAATGCTATAGGCTTT